GGCCACACGCGATGCTGCTGCACGTCTTGCTGTGCGTCGCCACCTCCCTTCCTCCGAGCGTGCGCACTTTAGTCAGTGCAAGACCGCTCAGGCCTTGTACGACGCTGTAGTTGCGCGCTACTCTTCCCCTTCCTCCGCTACGCTGAGCCGCCTCATGCTACCGTACCTCTTCCCTAACCTCGCTGCCTTTCCCACAGTCGCTGACCTCTTTACCCACCTCCGCGCTAGTGACACTCGCTACCGCGCTGCGCTTCCTGCTGACTTCCGCGCCGCAAACCCTCCTCCCATGTACATCACTCTCTACTTTCTAGTCACCCGTCTCCCTGAGTCCCTTCGTGCCGTTAGGGACCAGTTTCTCTCTGTCTGTCCCACCACCCTCACTGTCGACCTCCTTGAGAAGTCCCTGCTAGCGGCTGAGAAGAGTATAGTCGCTGTAGGGGCCTCTCGTGGTGACCCTCGCACCCCCATCTTTGAGGGGTGTTCTCCCTCCCCCCTGTTACCCTCTGTCGCCTCTGCTGCTGCGGCCGACCTCGTTGGTTTGGAGTCGGTCGGTGCGGCGTCTGCCCCCAGCGGTAGGCGCCGCTCTGGCAGGGGCAAGGGGGGCAAGGGAGCGGGTGGAGCTAGCGGGGGCGGTGGCGGAGGAGGTGGGGGCGGCGGGGGGAGTGGGGGTGGCGGTGGAGGTGGTGGCGGGAGTGGAGGTACTGGTGGCGGCAGTGGAGGCGGAGGCGGCGGCGGAGGTGGTGGCGGAGGTGGCGGTGGGAGCGGCGGGGGCGAGGGTGGCGGTGGCAGCGGTGGCGGCGGAGGCGGGGGTGGCGGTGGTGGAGGTGGTCGGAGTGGCTCGTCCCAGCGGAGCAGCACTGGGGGTGGTCAGCGCCAGCAGCAGCAGCAGCAGCAGCAGCGCTCTCGCGACGTCCCCACCCTTCAGCAGCTCCGTGAGTGGTACTCGCAGCGTCAGCGTGGTGGGGCGTTCGGTCCCTGCACCTACGTCCTTCGCACCGGCGACCGCGCAGGTGAGCAGTGTGGGGGCACCCACACCGCCCGCCGCTGCTTTGCCCGCTTGACCGACGCTTGGCACCAGCAGTTTCCGGAGGCCTCTGAGATCCCCCGCTGAGAGAGCTGTCTAGGGCTGGTGTAGCTATCTTTGATCTTGACTTTGATGCTATCCTTGCTGCCATGTATGCTGTGACTGTTAGTGATGAGGGTGACTGTTACCGGTGTTTCCCGCCCGACCCGGGCATTGGTACTGCTGCGTCAGGTGCCAGTGAGGCTGCTGCTCTAGGTGCCAGTGCGTCTGTGCTCTCAGGTACTAGTGAGTCTGCACTCTCAGGTACTGTGTCGGCTTCGGCCTCTCACACCTTCACCCTTGACTCTGGGGCGTCTCGCTCCTTCTTTCGGGACCGCACCACTCTCACGCCGCTTAGTCGGCCGGTTGCGGTGTCCCTGGCTGACCCCTCTGGGGGTCCTGTCCTGTCTCGTTTCTCCACAGTCCTCCCGTGTCCGGCGGCTCCCTCTGGCACCCTGACTGGTCTCTACCTCCCCTCGTTCTCTACGAACCTGGTGAGTGGTGCTGACCTACAGGATGTGGGTGTCCACCAGTTCACTCCTGCTCGTCAGCGGGTGACACACTGCACAGAGGCTAGCACAGGTCGCCACCTGGCTACGTTTACACGTCAGCCAGGGTCGAGCCTGTACACACTGACCACTGCTTCTCCTCCCGGTGCTGAGTCTGGTAGAGTCCCTTCGTCTGGTCAGGTGTTTGCTGCAGCGTCCAGGTCTGGTCCTGAGTCTGCCCCCTGTTTGTGTCGCCGTTTGTCTCACGAGACTCTCCTCTAGCACCACCGCCTTAGCCACCCCTCTCTGCTTCGGCTCAGAGGCATGGCCTCCCATCTTCTTGTGTCTGGTCTCCCCCGGTCCCTCCCTCCCCTTCCTCAGGGCCCTGGCCCTGCCTGTGTCCCCTGTGTCGAGGGGCGCCAGCGTGCTGCCCCTCACTCCTCCCAGTTTCCTCCGACAGAGGCTCCGTTGCAGACGCTTCACATGGACGTGTGGGGCCCTGCCCGCGTCCGTGGACTCGGTCACGAGCGCTACTTCCTGTTGGTGGTTGACGACTACTCGCGTTACACCACAGTCTTCCCCTTGCGCAGCAAGGGTGATGTCACTGAGGTGCTGATCGACTGGATCCGCGCAGCTCGTCTCCAGCTCAGGCAGAGCTTTGGCTCGGACTTTCCTGTGTTGCGTCTGCACTCGGACAGAGGCGGAGAGTTCTCCTCTGGCCTTCTGCGTGCCTTCTGTCGTGCGCGAGGCATCCGCCAGACCTTCACGCTTCCGGACTCACCGCAGCAAAATGGGATTGCAGAGCGCCGCATTGGCATGGTCATGGACGTTGCTCGTACGTCCATGATGCATGCGGCTGCCCCCCATTTTCTGTGGCCGTTTGCGATCAGGTACGCGGCGCATCAGATCAACCTCCACCCCAGGGTCTCCAGGCCGGAGACCTCCCCAGCCCTGCTGTGGACGGGGAAGGTTGGCGATGCGTCGGCGTTCCGGGTCTGGGGATCTCGGGCGTTTGTCCGCGACTTGTCTGCGGACAAGCTGTCCCCTCGCGCTGCTCCCTGCGTCTTCCTGGGGTTCCCCCCCGACGCCCCTGGGTGGCAGTTCTACCACCCCACCTCTCGACGTGTTCTGTCCTCCCGGGACGTCACGTTCGACGAGTCGGTACCCTACTACCGCCTCTTCCCCTACCGCACTCCGTCCCTCCCCCCGCCCCCGCTCTTCTTGGTACCAGGTCCCCCCCCGTTAGACCCCCTCCCCCCTCAGGGTCCTACCCCTTCAGGTGTGTCCCAAGTAGACGCGGTCGAGCCTGTCGAGGTCACTGGTGACTCTGGTGCTGCTGCGGGAGCTGAGCCTGGGGGTGCTGGGACTGGAGGTGCTGCGCCCGGGGGTGCTGGGCCTGGGGGTGCGGAGTCTGGGGGTGCTGAGCCTGGGGGTGCTGAGCCTGGGGGTGCTGAGCCTGGGGGTACTGAGTCTGGGGGTGCTGAGCCTGGGGGTGCTGGGCCTGGGGGTGCTGAGCCTGGGGGTGCTGAGACTGGAGGTGCTCCGCTTGGAGGTGCTTTGCCTGAGGGTGCTGAGCCTGGAGGTTCTTCGCCTGGAGGTTCTCCGCCTGGAGGTGCTTCGTCTCGCCGAGAGCCACTCTCCCCACAGGAGCTGCGTGAGTGGTTTGCCCGGCGCTGGAGGCGTGCTGCTATTACTGGAGGTTCTTCGGCTGCAGAGGGTGTTGCTGCCACGCGTCCCGGAGGTGCTCGTGCTGTGGGTGCTGGAGCTGCTGGGCCTATGGGTTCTCCTAGAGCTGGTGCTGCTGAGGGTGTTGGCGCTGAGACTACTGCTGGCGGTCCGACTGGCAGTGCTCCTGGTGCTGCTGGGGGTTCTGGAGCAACTGGAGGTGCTACTGGAGGTGCTGCTGGAGGTACTGCTGGAGCGGGTACTCCTGCTGGGGGTACTGGTGCTGTCCCTGCTGTTTCTGGCGTCGCCACGCGGCCCCGAGCATACTTCGTTCCGCTCCTGCAGCAGGTTCTTGGTCTTACACCTTCTCCTGGTCCTCCTCCTCCTCCCTTATAGGGTCCACAGCCTGTCCAGTCCCGGTCACAGCTACAGCCTGCCTCCCCTTTGCCTGCTCCTTCTCCCTACGCTGGTCCGACTGGGGGTCTTACTGAGCGTCGTGAGCCTGCGTCTCGTCCTGCGTCGCCTGTTCGTCCTAGTGGTCGCGGTTCGCGTCAGCATCCTCCTCCTGTCCCTGGCACGCACCGGATGTCTCTGCGTCCGTCTACTGCTCCTCTGCGTGCCCCTTTGCCTTCTCCTCCTGCTTCCTCTCTTCCTGCTCTTGCCGACCCGGAGTCGGACTCTCTTCGTGCTGCCAGTCCTACTGTCACGCGTCTTCTTGCTACAGCTGTCACTGACCCTTCTTTCGAGTCTTCTGCTGCGTCTGCCCTTGTCACTGAGCTCGTCGACTTTGCTGCGCGCTGTCGTCTAGACTACGCTGCTAGTCTTGTCGCTGAGTCTGAGTCTGCCTGTCCTCCGTCCGTCGGGGGTGAGTGTGCCCTTGGCACGGACGTCCTTGAGGACAGGCAGGAGGAGTTCCAGTGTCTGGCCGCCGCTTCACCTCATCTCGCGTCTGTACTGCTCGCCCCTGAGGGAGACCCGGATGCACTAGACATCCCGACTCCGCACTCTTACGCGGAGGCGATAGAGGGTCCCTACTCCTCTCAGTGGCAGGCAGCTATGGATGCAGAGATGGCTTCCTGGAAGTCCACAGGCACCTACGTTGACGTTGTTCCCCCTCCTGGGGCGAACATAGTCAGTGGCATGTGGATTTTCAGGGTGAAGCGGCCGCCGGGTTCTCCGCCTGTCTTCAAGGCGCGTTACGTGGCTCGTGGCTTCAGTCAGCGGCAGGGAGTTGACTACTTTCAGACCTTCTCCCCGACCCCGAAGATGACCACTCTTCGGGTACTGCTGCACGTTGCTGCTCACCGTGACTACGAGCTGCACTCTCTCGACTTCAGCACTGCTTTCTTGCAGGGCAGCCTGCACGAGGAGATCTGGCTGCGTCGCCCGCCTGGCTTCACTGGGTCTTTCCCTCCTGGTACCCAGTGGAGTCTCCGGCGTCCAGTCTACGGTCTCCGCCAGGCGCCACGTGAGTGGCACGACACACTGAGGACTACGCTGGCGGCACTTGGGTTTGCTCCTTCTACTGCCGACCCGTCGCTATTTCTGCGCACCGACACCTCTCTGCCGCCATTCTACATCCTCGTGTACGTCGACGACTTGGTCTTTGCCACAGATGACATTGCTGGACTCGCCTACGTGAAGTCCGAGCTGCAGAAGAGACACACGTGCACTGACGTGGGTGAACTGCGCAGCTACCTTGGCTTGCAGATCACCCGGGACAGAGCACGCCGCACCATTGTCAGAATATATTTGATGTCTAGCCTGCAGTGGGGTACTCTGTAATGAGTACAACCCAATTTAGGGCATTGTACTTGTATCCCAACCCTTCCTAGTGAAACCACTTCTCCTCTTCCAAACCTCTCGATACTTTCCTAACTCTCTCGAACTCGATCACCTAGGCACCTAAACTATGGCTTCTAAGCCTACCTTTACTTAAGATTCTGAGATGGTATTAGAGCTTAACGCTCCTGGCCTGTGGGCCCACTCGATTCCGCTGCGCTATTGTGTGTCGTGCGCCCCGTGGCGCACGACCACCTTTTTTTCTTCCCGCCACGCGCTCGGGGCGCGTGGCGGTTTTCAGCCTGCCGTGCGCCCCGAAGCGCGCGGCGGGTACCTACCTCGTCGCGGCGTCTTGGGAGCCCGCGCGCTGGCCCCGACCGTCGCCTCGTCGCGGCGTTTTGGGGGCCCGCACGCAGGTCCCTCCCGTCGCCTCGTCGCGGCACTTTCTGGGCTCGCGAGCCGGCCCCTCCCGTTGCCTCGTCGCGGCGCCTTAGGGGCCTGCGCGCGGTCCCCTCTCGTCGCCCGTCGCGGCACTTTCGGGGACCTGCGCGGCTCCCTAGCACGTCACCCTTCAGGGCACAATAGGGGCCGCGCCCTTCCCCTCCCCTCCGTCCTACTTTCCGCTGCAGCAGCCCCAGCAGCTGCAGCCCCTGAAACGGCCACCGCAGCAGCAGCAGCTCCAGGAGCAGCCGCCCCAGCAGCAGCAGCCCCGGGAGCAGCCGCCCCAGCAGCAGCCACTGGAGCAGCCGCCCCAGCAGCAGCTGCCTCTGAAGCGGCCACCCCAGCAGCAGCAGCCCCTGGAGCCACTGCTACTGCAGCAGCCACCCCACCAGTAGCAGCACGTGGAGCAGCAGCAGCAGCAGCAGCCCCAGCAGCTGCAGCCCCTGAAACGGCCACCGCAGCAGCAGCAGGTCCAGGAGCCGCCGCCCCAGCAGCAGCCCCTGGGGCCGCCCCAGTAGCAGCAGCCCCGGGAGCAGCCGCCCCAGCAGCTGCTGCCTCTGGAGCGGCCACCCCAGCAGCAGCAGCTTGTGGAGCAGCCGCCCCAGCAGCAGCAGCCCCGGGAGCAGCCGCCCCAGCAGCAGCAGCCCCTGGAGCCGCTCCAGCAGCAGCAGCCCCGGGAGCAGCCGCCCCAGCAGCAGCAGCCCCGGGAGCAGCCGCCCCAGCAGCAGCCACTGGAGCAGCCGCCCCAGCAGCAGCTGCCTCTGAAGCGGCCACCCCAGCAGCAGCAGCCCCTGGAGCCGCTGCTACTGCAGCAGTCACCCCACCAGCAGCAGCACGTGGAGCAGCAGCAGCTACAGCCGCCCCAGCAGCAGCCCCAGCAGCGGCAGCCACTGGAGCAGCCGCACCAGCAGCAGCCGCCCCTGGCCCCTGCAGCAGCCGCTCATGGACCAGGTGCAGCCGTGGGGGGTGAGTGTTGGGGTGCTAGTTGTGGGGGTGTCGGTTGTGCATGCCGTCCCCTCCTCCTCCTCCTCCTTCGTCTCCCACTGCTACAGCTCTCGCTGAGGGGGGTGGATGTGTGGGAGACTGGGGTTTAGGGTTTAAGGGGGGGTGGGTGGGAGTGGAGCTAGCGGTATAGCAGCGGGTGTGTGTCGGGGGGTGGGACTATGTGCGGGAGGATGAGCGGACGTTGCCAGTCTATTGTCCGCAGCACCTGTAGTCCGGGCGCTTAGTCCGGTAGCCCAGTGAGTTTGTTGCTGCGCCAGTCGCCCGAGGGTCCGTTGCCCGTCTACCGCTACTTGAGCCGCGGGGCCTGTTACTCCTGTAGTCCGGGCGCTTAGTCCGGTAGCCACTGTGCTCGCCACTCCTGTTGCCCGTGTGTCTGCAGCTTCAGCCGCCGCCTTCTATCTCCTCTCCTCTCACTCTCCCTCCTCCTCCTCACTTGCCCGTTGTGACTACCACTAGCTTTGCTGATAATTGTGCACTTTAACTATTGCTTCTTGAACTTGTGCTCAGAATGTGTGGTGACATTGTGATCCACCCTGAGCTTGTACTGCTCTGCCTGCTCTGCTGATTACTCCCCACTTTGGCTATGGGGGTGTGTCAGAATATATTTGCTGTCTAGCCTGCAGTGGGGTACTCTGTAATGAGTACAACCCAATTTAGGGCATTGTACTTGTATCCCAACCCTTCCTAGTGAAACCACTTCTCCTCTTCCAAACCTCTCGATACTTTCCTAACTCTCTCGAACTCGATCACCTAGGCACCTAAACTGTGGCTTCTAAGCCTACCTTTGCTTAAGATTCTGAGAACCATTACCCTGACTCAGTCACACATGGTGCAGCAGGTCCTTCAGCGCTTCGGCTTCACGTACTCCTCGCCTCAGGCCACTCCTCTGCCTACTCGCCACTCGCTCTCAGCTCTGCCTTCGGATGAGTCCGTAGAGTCGAGTGGTCCGTATGCAGAGCTTGTTGGCTGCCTCATGTACCTGATGACCTGCACTCGACCTGACCTTGCTTACCCTCTTAGCATTCTCGCACGCTATGTTGCTCCTGGGAGACACCGACCAGAGCACATGGCTGCAGCGAAGAGGGTGTTGCGCTACTTGTGTAGTACGTCGGGCATGGGGCTAGTGCTTGGAGGGCGCAGTCCAGTGGTCCTCACTGGGCACGCAGACGCTTCTTGGGCTGACGACCAGGCTACGCAGCGGTCGTCACAGGGTTACACCTTCAGCCTTGGTTCCGGCTCTGTTTCGTGGCGGGCTACCCGCTCGTCTTCTGTTCTCGGCTCCAGTTGTGAGGCTGAGATCTACGCTGGGGCTATGGCTGCTCAGGAGCTTCGCTGGCTCACCTACCTGCTGACCGACCTTGGAGAGCCGCCTCGTTCTCCTCCAGTCCTGTACGTAGACAACAAGGCCATGCTGGCCTTGTGTCGAGAGCAGCGACTGGAGCACAGGACAAAGCACATTGCTCTCCGCTACTTTCTTGCTCGTGAGCTACAGCAGCGTGGACAGTTGCGACTTGCGTACGTGGCCTCTGAGGCCAACACTGCTGATGTCTTCACCAAGGCACTTGCGCCTTGTGATCATCAGCGTTGCTGCACGCAGCTGGGTCTTGTGCCTGTCTTGCCTCACTTGCTCACTTCTTGACCTTCCTTGTACCTTGACCTATATATACTCTTGTTCTTGCTTGCTTGACTCTTGTATATCTCTATATATGATCTTGCATGTGAACTGGCCTTGTGGCCCTTGAACTTGTGCTCGGAATGTGTGGTGACTTTGTGATCCACCCTGAGCTTTGCTTTGCTTTGCTTGACTGGTCTTGTGACCCCTTGTTCTCCCCCACTTTGCCTATGGGGGTGTGTCAGAATATTATAGCTTACTTATTTGTGTAGGCTATAGTGGGGTATCCCATAGGGGGTACAACCCAACTAGGGTTTCCTATTTGTACTCACTTCATTCATAGTTCACTCATTCTCTCGTTCACTTTTTCTCAGACGGGTCATTCAAGTTATTGTGTGACAATCAGAGCGCGATCAAAATGACGAATAAACCTGGCTTCATCAACCGTACGAAACACATCGCTCTACGTTACTTCTTCGTCAAGGACGAAATTGACAAATGGAAGGTTCAACTAATCTATTGTCCAACTGGCGAAATGGAAGCAGATTTTCTGACGAAGAAGCTGCTGTGAGAATAAGCGAACAGGAATGAATGAACTAGCAGTGAAATGAGTACAAGTAGGAAACCCTAGAATTGTGTACCCCCTATAGGCTAACCCACTGTAGCCTACACAAGCATAACATATATAATGTTTGACACACCCCCATAGGCAAAGTGGGGGAGAACAAGGGGTCACAAGACCAGTCAAGCAAAGCAAAGCAAGCTCAGGGTGGATCACAAAGTCACCACACAGTCCGAGCACAAGAGCAGGGCCAGAGGCCAGTTCACATGCAGGAGTACAGACATATATATAAAACTAGACAAGCAAGAGCAGGTATATATATATGTCACAGTACAAGTGAAGTCAAGAGGAGAGCAAGTGAGGCAAGACAGGCACAAGACCCAGCTGGGTGCAAAAGCGCTGATGGTCACAAGGCGCGAGTGCCTTGGTGAACACATCAGCAGTGTTGGCCTCAGAGGCCACGTACGCAAGTCGCAACTGACCACGCTGCTGCAGCTCACGAGCAAGGAAGTAGCGGAGAGCAATGTGCTTCGTTCTGTGCTCCAAGCGCTGCTCTCGACACAAGGCCAGCATGGCCTTGTTGTCTACGTACAGCACTGGAGGAGAACGAGGCGGCTCTCCAAGGTCAGTCAGCAGGTAGGTGAGCCAGCGAAGCTCCTGTGCAGCCATGGCCCCGGCGTAGATCTCAGCCTCACAACTGGAGCCGAGAACCGAAGACGAGCGAGTAGACCGCCACGAGACAGAGCCGGAACCAAGGCTGAAGGTGTAACCCTGTGACGACCGCTGCGTAGCCTGGTCGTCAGCCCAAGAAGCGTCCGCGTGGCCGGTAAGGACCACTGGACTCCGCCCTCCAAGCACAAGCCCCATGCCCGACGTACTGCACAGGTAGCGCAATACCCTCTTCGCTGCAGCCATGTGCTCTGGTCTGTGTCTCCCAGGAGCAACATAGCGTGCAAGAATGCTCAGAGGATATGCAAGGTCAGGTCGTGTGCAGGTCATCAGGTACATGAGGCAGCCAACAAGCTCTGCATACGGACCACTCGACTCTACGGACTCATCCGAAGGCAGAGCTGAGAGTGAGTGGCGAGTAGGCAGAGGAGTGGCCTGAGGCGAGGAGTACGTGAAGCCGAAGCGCTGAAGGACCTGCTGCACCATGTGTGACTGAGTCAAGGTAATGGTGCGGCGTGCTCTGTCCCGAGTGATCTGCAAGCCAAGGTAGCTGCGCAGTTCACCCAGGTCTGTGCACGTGTGTCTCTTCAGCAGTTCGGACTTCACGTAGGCGAGTCCAGCAGTGTCCGCTGTGGCAAAGACCAAGTCGTCGACGTACACGAGGATGTAGAACGGCGGCAGTGAAGTGTCGGTGCGCAGAAACAGCGACGGGTCAGCAGTAGAAGGAGCAAACCCAAGAGCCGCAAGCGTAGTCCTCAGTGTGTCGTGCCACTCACGCGGTGCCTGGCGGAGACCGTAGACTGGCCGTCGGAGGCTCCACTGGGTGCCAGGAGGGAAAGTCCCAGTGAAGCCAGGTGGACGGCGCAGCCAGATCTCCTCGTGCAGGCTACCCTGCAGGAACGCAGTGCTGAAGTCGAGAGAGTGAAGCTCGTAGTCGCGCTGAGCGGCTATGTGCAGCAGCACCCGAAGAGTGGTCATCTTCGGGGTGGGAGAGAAGGTCTGAAAGTAGTCAACTCCCTGCCGCTGACTGAAGCCACGAGCAACGTACCGCGCCTTGAAGACAGGTGGAGAGCCCGGCGGCCGCTTCACCCGGAAGATCCACATGCCACTGACGATGTTCGCCCCAGGAGGGGGAACTGCGTCAACGTAGGTGCCTGTGGACTTCCAGGAAGCCATCTCTGCATCCATAGCTGCCTGCCACTGAGAGGAGTAGGGACCCTCTACGGCCTCCGCGTAAGAACGCGGAGTCGGGATGTCTAGTGCATCCGGGTCTCCCTCAGGGGCAAGCAGTACAGACGCGAGATGAGGTGAAGCAGCCGCTAGACACTGTAACTCCTCCTGTCTGTCCTCTAGGACGTCCGTGCCAAGAGCACACTCACCCCCGACGGACGGAGGACAGACAGACGCAGACTCACCAACAAGACCAGCATCGTAGTCGAGACGACAGCGAGCAGCAAAGTCAACGAGCTCAGCGACTAGAGCAGACGCAGCAGTGGACTCAAAAGAGGGGTCAGTGACGACAGTAGCAAGCAGACGCGTGACAGTAGGACTGGCAGCGCGAAGAGAGTCCGACTCAGGGTCGGCAAGCGCAGTAAGAGAGGACTCAGGAGGCGAAGGCAAAGGGGCACGCAGAGGAGCAGTGGACGGACGCAGAGACATCCGGTGCGTGCCAGGGACAGGAGGAGGACGCTGACGCGAACCGCGACCACTAGCGCGAGCAGCACGAACAGGCGACGCGGGACGAGACGCAGGCTCACGACGCTCAGCAAGACCTCCAGTAGGACCAGTGTAAGGAGAGGGAGCAGGCAGAGGAGAGGAAGGCTCCAACAGTGACTGCGACTGGACAGGCTGTGGACACTCTACCGAAGGAGAAAGACCAAGAACCTGCTGTAGGAGCGGAACGAAGTACGGCCGAGGCCGCGCGGCAGCTCCAGACTCAGCAGGGACAGCACCAGCACCCTCAGCGACAGCACCAGCGCCACCCACACCTCCAGCGGCAGGACCAACAGCAGTAGGCTCAGCACCAACGCCCTCAGTACCTCCAGCTCCAGGAGGACCCGCAGGTCCAGCAGCTCCGGGACCGGCAGCACCCGCACCCTCGACGGTCGAAGAAGCTCCAGCT